TGTTGTAATGATAATTGGGAGTTGAGTAGTTAATTTTTCTGATTAGCGTCGACCTCTGGAAGGTTATTTACTTAGAGATAGGAGTCGATGAAACACGATGTATCAAAGTCACTACTACAGCACAGTAGGCCAATGGGTTTCACTATATGAGCTAGCTCTTGGTGGACATTTTCAGATAATGTTTAAGGGGATTCCAGCGAACCCAATCTCCCATACAGAAATCGGTTTTTTATGGATTTGTTGAGATAATGTGAAGATTTGTTCCGGAATTCCGATCAAAGAGAAGAACGTAGTGGTTGAACATCAAGTAGCCAAAATTCCCGAAGATATTCTCTTTTTGTGCTTACACTTTTTCTGCTCAGAGTTTGTGCCATAAGTGTTAATTGTTTTCCAGAAGTTGCCATCGCTTGAACGGGCTCATACGTCTCCCGTCGAAGTGCCTGTAAATAGTGGTAGCGGAAGTGGTTCACGAAAGAGGCCTCTCGATGACTCATTATCTACTGGTAACACCAATACGGATGCACTTCTTGCAAGTATCAGTCGAGCAACGAGTTCTGGAGTTGTAGAGGGAGAAAGTGGGTTTAATTTCGAATTTCTTTCATCCTCCCCATACCTTTGTTTTTGCTGTTACAAGAGGTCCAGTGCCTATGATAAGGTGAGAGTGCATATTAACGGGGCTCACAGGAATTACTGGAAAACTCCAAAACCGCTTGAGAACTTGAACTTTGAAAACGCCGAAATGTTTTTCTTTCAATCATTACATTTTATTTACATTTTCAGTTACGGAGGATCTCGAATTAATCCCAATGTTCAACAGTAAAAGAATCAAATCCGAATTCGAAGCCGACCACGATCAAGATGATGGTTCAATGATTGATGACAGTATTCTGGACAACTTGAATCCTATGTGAGTTTGAAGATTTTTGTTCGTTTGTGGTCTACTATCGCTTCATATTGATCTCGTATGATTCTAAGCTCATTCAAGTTTCCACTGATATTTATCTGATTATTGCAATAATCGTTACATTGACTTGTTACACGGGGTCACTTTATTTCAAGAGGGTTTATTTCTTTTGTGTTCACTTTGCCTTTCTTTTCGGAAAAATTCCAACAACTCCTTAGTGCATTATTCCATTTCAAGCTCGGTATTGGACAATGTGGCTG